GTGGTATCGATTGTGAGATCGATCGTCAGATCGATTGTGAGATCGATCGAATGCAATAATAGATCGAGTGATATCGATTGCGGGATCGATCGAGGGAGATCGATCGAGCGAGACCGATAGTGAGGTCGATAGTGAAATCGATCGTGAGACCGATCGAGTGAGACGCCTGGCATCGCTCGGACGTGTGCATTTTTTCTCGGCGAGGACCATCGAGGAGCATCCTTCATCATTTGGCGAAAAAAAAACACGCACGAAACCGAAAAACACACAGGAAATTGACGTCCGAGCGATGCCCAGGACGTTGGTTCCTCCCCCCCGAACCTCTTTATCACCCGAAGGGTGGTCGTATAGGTACTGAATGACACGCGAGCAGATAAGAGCGAACGGTCTTAATATGATTGTTTTTGTTTTTGTTTTTGTTTTTGTTGTTGTCTTCAGTTTTCGGCCTCCCCAGGCACTTCCCTGTCCCCAGGGCCGTTGAGAATCGACAGAGGATGAAACGCTGCCTCGGGGGAGACCCCTGGTTCGGGCCGGCTGAAAGGGGGCTATAGGGAGGGAAATTGGGGGGGTACGAAAGCTGGTGCGTGCCACTGGTTTCAGCTCCGCCGTCGGGTGCTTTCCTTGATACACGGGCTCCTCTGGCGTCAGGAGGCGCCAGAGAATTCAGCTACGTGAGCCGATTCGCTAACACCCCCTGTACTACCCCTCCAGACATGCGACGTCTTGATTTTTTCAGGACGGCGTCCCTGGAAGTCCCGACCCTTTCCCTGGGACCGGTTTTTCGTCCTGAGTCGTTTTTTGACGGTCCCGATGCCCGGCGAGGGCCACCCGGGGCCGAAAATAGCTAAAAATTTACCGTCCTGATTTTCCACGATTCGATCATTTTTGGGCCCCCTCGTCCTTCACGGGCCAGTCTCGACCCGAGCCCCAGGGTCAGTCTTTCATCCCGAGGCAGCTCTCGGCGGTTCCACAAGGCCTGGCCAAGGCCCCAGGAGGCCGAAAACGGCCCGAATCCGTCCGCCGTGATTGTCTTTCACGCGAGCATGCCTGGGGACACAGGGTCCCAGACATGATCGCGTCGTAGAAATCAGAACGGGAGGTTTTTTTTGTTGCTATTTTCGGCCCCGGGGGGCCCTCGCCAGGCCTCGGGGCCGTCAAAAAACGATTAAAACCGGTCCCAGGGAAAGTGTCGGGACTTCCAAGGACGCCGTCCTGAACAAAATCAGGACGTGTTTGGGGTGTCCAGGTCGGGCGGGCCTTGGACGAGGATCAAATCCCTGCCAGAGCGTTCCATAACGCACTCAGAGCGTTCAGAGAACGCTCTGAGAAGGCCGCGGCGCCTGATCCATCCTCCAGAGCCGCGGGATCTAGGAGATTCTGGACTGATCCCCCCAGACATGCGACGTCTTGAGTTTTTGAGGACGGCGTCCCTGGAAGTCCCGACCCTTTCCCCGAGACCTGGAGGGCCCGGCGAGGGCCCCCGGGGCCAGAAATAGCCAAAAACCTCCCATCTTTTTTTTGACGCCGAGTTTGTCCTCGTCCTGGCCTCGTCTTACCAGGACCGGGCCTCCCCTCGGGGCCCCCCCTGGCCGGGTGGCGCACGGCTGGGACGGCAGGGGCTGCATCCGGAGGGTCGAGGCGGTGTTCGCGGGGCAGGCCGCCGACGGGTCGGGCGTGCTTCTGAAGACCGTGGGCGACATTAGGGGGCCACATGCGAGTCTTCATTACCCCTACCCCCCCCAGGATTTCTGGGGGGGAGGGTGGGGTTCACTTCGTTCGGGAGCTCCCGAGCGCAGTGAACCCCTTCCCTCCCCCTCAGAAATCAAATCGTGGGGCGTAGGGGTAGGGCTCGCACGTGGCCCCCTAGACATGCCAGGAGCGCCCGACGACTGGGAGCTGTACAGCTCGAGGAGCAAAACGCCGGCACGAGCACGACACCCGCGGAGCCTCGCGCGGAGCTCTCTCGGGTCGGCGCCGGGCCCCTCTTCTGGCGGCGCCTCCTGGCGCCGCCACACGGCGCGCTCCGCGCGCCAGGGAGGGGGGCCCAGGGCCGCTCCAGGAGATCCGCGCGGAGCTCCGAAAGTTTGTGCTCATGCTCTTTTCTGTTCTTCCCACGGCGCGGACGGGTCGGCCACGTGCCTCCCACTCCACTCCGTGAAGGGCTCCTTGGTGGCCGGGCCGTTCCCCGTCACCTTCCTGGCCGGCGGCTTCGCAGTGGGCCTGGTGCTCATGGGAGGAAGAGGAGCGATGTGCCGCTGCCCTTCCCTCGTTTTCACCTTCTTGGGTCTCCTGGGAGGCCCTCGTCGCCACGGCTGGATTCGCCTCGACATCCTGGTCAGAACGCTCCCCTGGAGAGGTCTGGGCAGCAGCGGTACGGGTACCTTGTGGTGTTTTTTTTCCCAGGTGCTATTTCCGACGGCCGCGCTCTGCTTTTTCGCCACCCACCAGCCCGCCTCGCTGATCTGGATGCTCTTCCTCTTGACCCTCGTGCACAATGTATTGTGCTATCCGATGGGCTGACTAAGGGCCAGATAAAAGTTCCATCGTTGTCGGCATCATTATCGTCGTCGTCACTGTCAACACTGAGATCGTCTGCAAGAGGGCTCTTTGGATATGATCGTTTTGAGTTGACACAGGCTTGTGGCTGTTTCGAGCTCCACGAAATCCCCCGACAACGTCTTGGTGCTTTCAAGGGCGATCTTGGGCCGCCGCGACCCATCCGTTCGTCCTGCCTTGTCAGCCCCCGTTCGTTCTGCCTCCTCGCGATGTGCCGAGGCCGGCCCAGGGCCAGGGGCTGGCTGAGGATAGGGAGGGGGAACAAGCGCCGACATGAACATAGAAACTCAGAGGTCCTTGCGGATTTCTCGGATCGGCGCTGGACCTCCCCTGCTTGGCGCGCGGAGCGCGCCAGGGGCGGCGCCGGAGGCGCTGCCAGGGGGTCCATCGCCGATCCAAGAACTCCGCGCGGATCTCGGAGTTTTTGTGCTTAAGTCTGATGCCATTGTTTGTTCCCCAGCGATGGGCCGTGGGCGGCCTGGGGCTAGGGGCTGGATGAGGATGCGCTAGATTCGCGTCGCGTCTGCCGGCGGCGACCCCGTGGGCGACCCAGAGTCGGTCGATGTTTAACGATCTGACGTTTCGGAAAGGGCCGATCGTTCAACAAGCCTGAACGTTTCCCGCGGTGTCAGGAGCCAACGCCGGGGCTGTCCCTCCAAACTCCCTTTCCATAGGCCCCTAAAACGGCTCATTTCCATTGAGGGAATTAATTGCCTCGTTGGAAGACAACCGTTTGAAGATCTTGAAGCATGCTAAAACATTGTTATCGGGCTTTCAACGCCACGTATCAACTTGACAGCTGCGTTCTGGAGATCTGGAAACGTGCCATAACGCCGTTTTTTTGATTTCGACACCGCGAATCAACATAACTGTTGCACCCGCATAATCCTGAACCCTTCCAAAAGAGCATTTTTGGTACGTTGATCATGGGCATCAGTGAATTTTGAAAATGAATGTGCGCGGCGCTGTGGCGAGAGCCACATTTTGAAAAGGAGCCGCCCTCAATCCGTGAAGCTCTTACAAATATCGAAAGCCAATGTGCGCGGCGCTAAGGCGAGAGCCACCCGCCCTCCACCCGTGAAGCTGTTGTCACTCATTAGGCTTCAGAGTCATACAGGGTGAGGAAATCTCAGGCGAAATGCCCGGCCCGCCCTAAAATCTGGCCTCGGGGTGCGACAGGGATGAGCTATTTACAAGGAGAAGGAATGGAGGAGGAGGAGGAGGAGGAGGAGGAGGAGGAGGAGGAGGAGGAGGATGACGAGGAGGAGGAGGAGGAGGAGGAGGGGGAGGAGGTGGAGGGGGAGGAGGTGGAGGAGGAGGAGGAGGAGCAGGAGGAGGAGGAAGAGGAGGAGGAAGAGAAGGAGGGGAATACCCCTCTGCCCGTGGCGCTGGGCTCCCCTCTCTGGATGGAGGGTTTGTCGCTGGGGGCATCTACGCGGGGTCCTGGGCCTTCGGCAGAGGTGCTCCCGCTCTCGGCCCGCGCTCTCGAGGCCGTGCTTCGACGGCACCTGAGGGACGGACCCAAAACGGGGTCGTCTTCGCCGACGTTGGTGCGTAAGCTGCCCGCGTAAGGTCGCGCGTGAGTTCCCTCGTCTCCGTGATGAAGTGCCGCGTTGGCGGCCCGCGCGAGTCACCGCGTAAGGCCTCTCTGCCATCTCGCGTAAGACCTTTTTTTTGATCGTCGCTCATCTGGTCCCCCCCCGCGCATGGCCGAGCCATCGCTTGCACCGCGCCGTGTCCTTCTTGGTTCAAGCCGTCCGTCGGGCAGCGAGGCACGCTCGTCCCCAGGGCCTGGGCCGAGCTCGACGAAGAACACAGTGCACAGACATGGGCTCGAGGACGCCCGCCCAGCATCTTTTGGATCGTTGCCGGACTCCCCTGGCGGCGCCTTCGGCGCCATCCCCCCGCGCGCCCCGCGAAATCGGGGCGGGGAATCCAGCGCCGATGCAGGAGACTCGCGCGGACCTCGGAGATATTACAGCTGATCCGCCCGAGTACTGACCCTTTTCGGCACAGGAAGTGCTCCGATTTTCGGGCCGCTCCTCAGGGCTGGGTCGGGGAGCCCCTCTGTGGCCGAGGCTCGCCGTGGCTAGAAGCGGTCCTTTGTTCCTTGTTCCGCGTTTCTTTTCTGTCTGCGGCGAGCCCAGGGGGGAAGTCCGAGGGGGGCGGCCTTCTCAGAAAACTCGGAAGGCCTTCTCAGAAGATAGGGACGGCTTCTCAGATGGCCGCGGGGCTTCTGAGAAGTTCCCGTGCCTTTGAGAAGGCCTGCCCCCTCTCACTTCCCTCCCGGGCTCGCCGCCGATTACGGGACCACGCAAACTATATTTTTTCGCAGTTTTTGACGTTGGTCAGACTCTGGTGCGAAACCGACAGGCAAAGCGCGCAACGAATCAAGCCAGGCGAGCACAGCGGGTACAAATACAGGCGCCAGAGACGAGTGAGAGATGGCAGCCCCAGAGGGCAAAGCGTACACGCTCGCCCGTTCTCGCGCAGGCCTGTTCTTCTCCCTGCGAGCGCACCGGGGATGCCGGAGCCCAAGGTGCGGGCGGAGCTGGCGCTGGGGCCCTCGCAGCGTGCGTGGCTGGCGGGGCGCGCCGACGCCCACGGGCTGCCCGACGTCGGGAAGGCCGTCCGCTGCTGCATCAACTTTTCGAAAGCCGGGGCGCCCGCGAAGTCGGCGTCCCAGGCCTCCTCGCGGTCGTGAAGAGGTCACGAAGAGCTGGGGCGCTCGCGAAGTCGGCGTCCCAGGCCTCCTCTCGTGAAGAGGTCACGACGGGCGCTTTTGACGGAGTTTCGGCCCACGGGGGCCATCGCTGGGCCCCGGGACCGTGCAGAGGCGTGTCGGGGCGCAGACCAGGTCCTGGGGAGGAGGTCCAGACCTCTGGGGTTCTGCGGGAGAGTGAACAAAAAACATGTTGACGTCGGAGATCTGGGTCCCAGGGTCAATTTTTCGGCCCGGTTGTTCCGATTCGGTATCGATTCTGGCTGGCTCGATCCGATTCGGTTTCGATGCTTTGGCGATCCGATACGTCCCAATGCCTGCATGGCGCAGTCGTGCATCCTGGCGCAGCCGATCCGATTCGACTTGGGCTCCGTGCCGATCCGACGCAAGCCTTCGATTCGATCCCAGTTCCGATTCGATGCTGACTGTTCCACGTCCCAGAAGATTGCCAGTGGGGACTTGGGTCGTTCTCCGAGGATGTCTCGGGCGACTTGGGCCTCCGAGATCCCGAAGCCGTGCGGTGACGGACCGAACGGTGAGGTCTTGGCGCAGTTCGAGGTCGCTGCACGCTCTGTCACCGCACTGTCTTGGGACCCCCAATTCTGGAGGGCAAGAGCCCGCCTCTCGAAGAACAATTAGCGGCGTAACCATAAACTTTGGAGCTCCGCGCCCCCTCCCTGGCGCGCGGAGGCGCGCGGAGTGCGCCAGGGGCGGCGCCAGAGGCGCTGCCAGGGGGGGGAGGGAAACACCGATCCGAGGAAACGGCCAAAACCCTGGGAAGGAGAGCACCAACCCAGGATTCAAACGAGGCGAACCAGGGAGAAGGAAGAGGAACAAACACGACATTTCGGAACCACCTAACTCAGGAAGCACAGACGGTGCGAACGGCAGATACCAGGAAAACTCGAGGAGGAGGAGGAAGAGGAGGAGGATTTTTTGACAAGGACTGCGACGAGGAAAGAGTTAGAGGATCGACCAAGGGCCCGTCTCAACTGTTACCCCAGGACGCTTGGGGTGCTTGCCCCTCGCTGAAAGCTTCCAATTGTCCTGGGTGTGACGGGTGGGTCGATCGCTGTAGCGCTTGGACAGTCCTCGAATCAGACCGTGGCTGGAATAGCATCTACACCTGAGACATACAGTGGGCAACGCATTATCACTGCATTCAAGCGAGATGCAATTCTGACTCAGAGTTCTGAGGGCAGATCCTGCTAGTCCGTGCACCTCCGTACACACGCCTGCAGCAGGCTCCGACACTCCTCGCTTCTTTCTGTGACAGTTCAAGCACAAGAGACATCCTCGCAACCTCTGCCGCTCGTGACCTGGAAGGAGAGACGGGGCCGACGGACCCGACGCAACACGAGAGAGGGCGGATGGGCTCAACCTCTGAACGGTCAAGCTTCGGCCGGAGCGGGGGAAGCTCACCCAGCGCGTTCCATTACTCGCAGAGTGCCTACTCGCAAACGTCCGAAAAACACATGCCTGCTTCGGTGTAATCTATCGTAGATCCCCCGCGGCGGATCCAGGCCATTTGCGAGTAGTGACTCTGCGAGTACTGGAACGCGCTCGTCCAGAAGCGAGGCGGCAAGGTTGCAGAAAAGCTTGGCAATGCTGGTTCGACGCTGGAGCTCAGCTTCTTCGCTCTCCGGCGCAAGAAGGGTGCATGGCAGCTCCGGCCCGAGCGGCTGCATCGGCGAGCAGAGTTTTTCCGAGTCGGCGCCGCCGCCCGGAAACAAGTGGGCTTTCACCTGGACAGCTTCCCCCGCCCACTTGCCTGAGCGATAGGTCATGTATTTGTTGTTCGAATGTGCTTGCTCTCTTCTCTCCTTCTCCTTCCTGTTTCACCCGAGACACATTCTACATAATCCGCTTTCGTTCGTGCGGGAGTGCGCTCCCATGCGCTCGCCCTCTTCCAGAGGACCGCCCCGAAGCGGGCCGGCAAGCGAGCCGTATCGTATCGTATCGTATCGTATCGTGTCGTAATTGCCACCCCTGCGCAAACTATTGCATCGTGCCTGCACAGGGTCTAACGTAGCTAAGCTGCTGCTCGGGAGGCTGCTGGCTCTGCTTAAGTACGTTGAAACAGTCTGAATCTATTGCACCATCACCTACTAGCTGTATAGCAGCCATCGCAAGACTCTGCAACTCACCAGTCTGGGGGGAGGCCACCAAAAGGGATGGGGCGGGTCCGAACAGCCTACCTTCCACCTCTCCTCCATCCAAAATCTGAACAACTCCCCAAACAGCTCGTTGAAGCTCAGGTATCATATGACGGCTACAGCTCCCATCTATGACAATGTTTCCTTGCAGATTTCCATCTTCTCTGGACTCATCCGTCCAGCGTAGGCCCGTGGTCCCAGGCAACGCAGGTCGGGGGTGTACATCCCCTGGGCGTGGAAAACTCCTCCGGTAAAACGAAGCTTGTCGACTGGTTCTGCTTGCGCTGCAAGGGCCATGTTGATGTCAGCCTGCGCAACGATCTCCAACCGTTTTGCCTGGCACTGCGTGCATTCCCACAGTCTGTGGAACTCCGTGTCGTCGCAGACACCGCGCACGGCACACTTAGTTGACTGAACTTGGTACCCGCGCTCTAGGGCGCAGCTCGGAGTCCAGATCGCCCCGCGGACCAGCGATTTCACGCAGCCTCTGCCGAGCGGGGTCTAACGCTTCGATCGGATCTTCGCTCGAACGACATCGAAGCACAATCTCGGGCAATCACTGTTTGCTTTGCTGCTGGCGAGGAGCTCTAAGGACCTAAGCGCAGCACCAAACCGCATGCCGTTCAAAACAGACGGCGAGACATAGGTAATAATCACTACTCCCTCTCCGAAATCGTTCAACAACGGTTACGAAAACCTTCGTGCCTCAGGGTGTTCTTGTCAGTGGTAACTTTACGGCTGAAAGGGGGCCCTTGACCTTCTTCCAATCCTTGACTTTCTCATCCTGGTATCTCACCTCCCAGGCCACCCTGAGCTCCTGGAAGGAAAGCCCGTGCGGGTAAGAGTGGATATGAGCGGCCCACGCCTCCTTGGAATGCCTGGGGATCGGGACGATTTCGCATCCAGGACGGGGCGTCCTCTAAAATAATGGGCGAGGTGAGAGTTCTGCCAGCAGGCGGACGAAGGATCTTACCTGCGGGCTGCCAAATACAACGAACTTCCCTGTCGGACACCCCGTGCACAGACGCGCCGCGCTCAAAGCGAGGCAGCGTGCCCGACGCGAAGATACGTTTGGAGAGTCCCCCCAAAGACTTCCCCATCGATCTGATTCTTCTGGACTGTTTCTGAAACATCTGGAGACGAATGACGAACTCGGCAGCCCTTTTCCTAGCTCTCCTCGGACGCCCAACCGTGTCATCGATCCCCAGGTTAACGGCAGTCCCCACCGCGGGCCCAGCCAAGTCGCCAAGGAAATCACGCAGCTCTTCTGCAACAGCTTTGCTAGAATGTGCAAAGTTGGCCTTCTCGCGTGAAAGCTCGCAGCCGAACTCCGAGACAACAACTTTATACAGGGCAGCCGATGCAGATTTGATATTCTGAATCACATCCCTAGCCTTCCACGTACAGTTCAATCCCGAGTCATCGATGTATTGGTCAATGCTCACACTTCCAGGCAGCTTGGCAAACATCTGGCCGAGAGGACCAATCAGATAAATGCGCGCAAACGTTTTCGCAAAGCTGCATCCCGCAATGGCGCCGAGCAGTGCGTGATGTGGTCCAAAGACCATCGAAGAGAGGCAGAGATATCGCGCGCTGCGGTAGGTGTTGACGCGTTGTTGCGCAATGGCCATGGGGGAACCGAACAATCTGCGCTGCTCCAGAAGCTTGCCCAGCTGGAGTGTGTCGTAGAACTTCGTCATGTCCCACAGGGCCGTCGCCGACGCTTCACCTCTCGAGGCTCCTGCTTCGGATCGCAAGGCTTGCCGCCGCGCCGCAAAGTCGGGTCTCGTGTGTGAGTGTTCCCGTTGTTGGACATGGGGCCTCCTGCGCCTCCCCCAAAACGTAAGCAGGACAACAAACAGTCCAATCGGGCGCCAGTTCCCCAGCCGGTTTCATAAGCAATGCCATTTGGGTCGCCCTGATTTGATTTGGGAAGTGTGGAGAGGTTCTCAACCAGGGCGAAAAGAAGGGCCACCGCAGAGAGGGCTTCGGCAGAGAACCAGCTATAATCCCTCATGTGGAAGCGTCCAAATTCTGTGCAGACCTGACAGGATACCTGGCCGACGCGCCTCGGATATCGGCAGGGCCTCCTGGGCCCCAGAGAATCCCCTCCCCTGGGTAGGCTCAGGAGTGGCCTTCCAGAGGCCCCGGGATATTTCGGACTCAGAGTGCAACAGGGCTAACGGATCGGAAATAATGAGGCCATTGGCGCTCAGCGTGGTGGTTGGTTTCCACCCAGGAGCGGGCTTTCTCGCAAGGTGGGCATTCCTGCCGCTCTTGTCTATGTTGGCCACAAGCCAGTTCTACCATTCCGTCCTGGCCTCCTCCTGGGTCTGGTTCTTGACTTCCTTGTATTCCCTCTCCACCTTATCCAACAAGGAAAGCACCTTAGCTCTCTCCGTGCTGACAGGCGAACGCGCTTCCGAGGCCAGGGCAGCTGTCTCGTCGAGGGTGAGACGGTGCAGCCCGATCCCGTCGAGCACAAACTTGGGGGGGCAAAATCCATTCGCCACCGCAGCCGTCCTGCTCACTGGAGTGAAACGAAGCAGCAACTTGCCACACTCGGTTATCAAGCAATTTCATGGCAGCCGTAGTCGGGTGCCTGATGGGATCCGTCTGAGCGCTAACGATGGGGGCCCGTTGGAGCTCTGGTGGATTCCCTCTGCTCCCATAGAAGTACAGGTCAACCTGGCCATTCCTGGACAGCTCGAGTGCAGCAAAGTATCCCCCCCATGCGCGCTTGGCAGACAAAACCTTTTCGAGCCGTGCCCAGCACGTGGATGCCAAACTTAAGCATGTGCCCCCGCAGAGGGGGTTCTTGCGGAGGGCCGATCGGCCTTTCAGTAGGTAACGTGGGTGACGGCGAAACTGCAAGGCTTGCAACTCAGCCGCCCGCGGGAAAAGTATGATTTGCACTGGGGGGGTGCGCGTCTTGATCGCCGTGGAGGTGGCTTCTCTTTACTGGCTGAATCGCTTTGCATGCGCCCGGCGAGACAACAAACTCGTCTATGGGCGACTTGTCTCTTTGACCCGTGCAACGCGTAGCCTCGCAGTCAGGACGGACTAACTCTCCGAGCTTCTCGGGGGCCCACTCTCCAAGATCGCTTCGGGGGAATTGTTGAAGTCGGCGCCCGCAATCGTTTCCTGCCCCAGAGTCACCGCAGCTCCTCCCACTCTACTAAGGATGTCTAGGTTTCTGTCCGAGAGTCCTTCGGTAACGTGCAAGTATAGGGAGGCGATGGTCAGCGGGGCGGAGCTGGGGAGGTGGACGGTTGCCAGCAATGCTCTGCCTGGCACTGGCGCTCCTCCTCCAGAGCTGAACGCGTGATGCAGACCAGGCCGCGCGCGTGCCAGTGCTGCCGCTCCTCCTTGCGTGCCGCCTCCAGGCCCAAGAGTGGCTTCGGCAAAAACCCCCTTCCACTGATGTCTGAGCAGCCAGCTGCTAGCTTCGTCAACTCTGTCGCCGCGCAAATGATGCTCCTGGGCTGCTTTAAGATGTGCCGCAGTCAGCTTCAACGCCAACTGGCACAGTTGCAGGTTTCAAAGATCAGGGAGAGAGTGTCGAGAGGAGGTGAAGGAGGGGCCTTGGTAAGCCCGTTGCACGCTAGGCCAAGATCCGAACCCCCACCCACGACGCTCCCCCCAGAGGAAGATGACGAGACCTCCTGAGGTCTAACTACCTGCTTGGTTTCTCGACCGCCCCCTATGGGCCAAGGCCTCTCGCCCTGTGCCCTCAGGGGGGGGGGGGGGGGAAAATTCAAAACATTCAAAACTGGATTCTGAGGGAACACCTGCGCCCGAACCTGGAGACCTGGACCAGGTGACACCTGTGCGGCTCCTCATAGGCACCGCCGATTCTGTTGTGATCTGCCCCCCTGGTGCCAAGACTCGCACCCTGGCGGGGGCCAGGAATTAGAACGCTTTGCCTCGGCTGCTGCTGCAACGCTAGCCTCGACCAGCTGCCTGGCTCCTGAGCGCACACCTGCAGCGATCCCTCCAGCGGCAGAGGGTCTACCTCCGCCTGCCTTTGGGCGTTCGCCGTTGGCAGCAGCTCCAGCATCCGGCTCATCGCCCAGCTCGCGACAAGGAGGAACGGCCGCTGCGCCCGCATCCTCCTGCTTCTCGAGCGCTGATGGCGGCTTCCTGGGCGGGGCTGAGGCCGCTCCGGTCCCCTCCCCAGAGTCGTTCTCCCGCTTCTTGGCCATCCTGTTCTTGTGCTCGAGATGCTCCTTCGTGGTATTCCCGACTGAGGCGAGGGCTCCAGAGAACAAGTCCTTCGCGCGCTTCTGCGGCGCCTCTTGCATGGTGGACATCCGCCGCTTGGTCTCCTGCTTGTCGCCTTCGGTCGCCTCGTGCTCTTCAATATCGAAAAAGGCCGCCGTGTCGAATAGCTCCTCGGCCCCAATCTCGCTGTTGACCAAGCGTGCCAGGCAGGTCTTAGGCTGTTGAGCTTTGGGCTGCACGAGATCACCTGCCAGCTGTGCAACGATGTCACAATGTTCTTTGTCCCCCTTCCCGAGCTTCGCCTGGACCTCCAGCGCGCGCTCCTTCTGCTTGTTTGAACGCTTCAGCAGGTCCTCGAGACGGTCTGTATCAACTTGGAGCCTGCCTCCAAGGCCACCGCCTGCGAATGAGCAGTCGAAGCCCGCTGCTGGACAGGGGTGGGGGCGACGGTCTTGGCGGGCTCATCCAACTGCTTGCAATACTTGGCGGCCGCCTCAGTGTCGCCAGCTTTCCCGGACAGGGCGATGAGCCGCTTGAGGTCCGACTCCGTGAGATCAGGAACCCCTTGGAACCGAACTCAACTACCAGCGCGAGGGCGAGACTCAGCAGCAGGGCTGCTACCCAGGGCAAGCAGAGGCCCTTGATGCCCTTCAGCACGGCCAGGATCACGACGAAGTGCACGCGGGGCTGCGCCGCGTAGGACTTCCTCGCTGTCGCTGAGCTCGTTGGCAGCTTCTCCTTCAGCTCTGTCAGCCTTGCAGTGCTTGCAATGCTCGAGTCTGTCATCGTTCTTTTTGCAGCCGCATAGGTCGCAACGCCACCTGCGAGGGCGAGAAGGCGGGCGCCGCTGGGGACCTCCCCAGCTCCGCCCGTCGCCGCTGGAAGCAGCCGCCGCCTCACGCCTTGGCGCTGCCGCCTGCCGCCAGGGAGCGTTCCACCTCCCTCCCAGGGCAGGCGCCTCTCCTTGCCACTCTCCGCCTCGACGCGCCATGGCGGTGCCGCGAGAGAGGGAATGATTGGGGGGTGAGAGAGAATGACCGTTGCCGAAGTGGCTCGCGGTCGCCCATCCGTTCTGAAGAGTCAGTGGCTGCAAGCCCAGAGACCCTGGACTTCCCAAATGGACCTGGACCAGAACGGCTGGAAGAGGAGGAGGAGGAGCAGGAGGAGGACGAAGAGGAGGAGGAGGAAGAGGAGGAGGAGGAAGAGGAGGAGGAGGAGGATGAGAACCAGGAGCAGGGGCAGGAGCAGGAGCAGGAATAGCAGGAGCACGATGAACAGGAGGGGGTGGTGGAGAAGGACGAGGAGGATGAGGAGGAAGATTATGATAATGATGAGGAGGAAGCGGAGCAGGAGGAGGAGGAGGAGGAGGAGGAGGAGGAGGAGGAAGAGGAGGAAGAGGAGGATGATGATGATGATGAGGAGGCGGAAGAGGAATAGGATGAAGAGGCGGAGGAGGAGGAGGAGAAGGAGGAGGAAGGTGAGCATGACATGAGAAGCAGTTGGGACATGAGCAGGTGGATCATGAGAAACATGATGCTCCTGTTGGAAGCGCCATGTGCCTACGTATGGTGGCTAGCCATCAGTGACATTTATAATTCGGCGATGTGCACAGTGTTTCCCAGAGGGTAATGACATCAAGCGACAGGAACCGCTTTTCACGACTCTGCCAAAAGATGTGCCGGGCCATGCCGAGGGGAACATTGTGAAGTAACGGGGAATATGTATGGGCAGAACGGCGTCCCGTATGATAGGTTCCGGGAGTTCGACGGCTATTTCCGATATATTGGCTTTTGCCTCAGTCGTTTTGACCCGTGCCTGCATTTTTCTGAAATCTGAGTGAGAAATGCGCCCTTGTGGGGGCGCTCGCATGCCACGTGGATGTCAGCATCATTGGCGGTTGTGGCGAACGGTATGACGATGCGGTCCGACAGCCGCGACAACGGTTTCCATGTCCGAAATGGTAAACGCTCGTGGGGGAATTCTGCGGTATGTACGATGCACAACCAGGACCCATCGGAGAGACTCATCAGACGAAATCAAGTAACGTTCGTGGTAGAATGTGGCCGATACGATTTACACGACAAATACGAAACCAGACGGCCCTAGCGACGAATGAGAAAAGTGCCCACGGACGGTCATGCTTCGGAGATGGCGGTTGGGTTTGCCAGGGGACAGACCGTAGGTGAGCCTGCACAGTGTGCGGCGATAGTACGGCGAACCAAGCAGTACGCTGACCTTGCCGTGTCTTAGTTGCCTATGCCGCCAGACCAGCTGACCACGATTGCTCACCTGGACGCAGTCTGGGGAATGCGACAAATAGCGGAACTCGGGCATGTTACGTGTTGGCATGTATTTCGACAGCCATGGCAAGCGGTCAGGAACTTTCGTGGGCCCCGTTCAACTGGCGATCACTCCGATTAAAACGACTCTTCATCGTATTTTGTCAGGCTAGGCTCAGGCAGCCTCAACGTGTGGTGCCGCGCTGGACTAAATGTCCTTGATGTTGTACGAGGTTTTCGACGGGCAACGTTGGCGCGTGTATGAGCGACCGCCCGGGGGCCCATCGAAGTTGAAGGCTGTGCGTCTCTGTATGACCACGTGGAAGCCAATGTTTCCCTGGCCAGGCTAGAAGATAACGTGTGTGCCATCGACGTGGTAGTGACCAACGACTCGGTCAAGCATTGTGCCGCGAGCTTTCGGTGGTGCCCTGTCAATCGACAATTGGCTGACGCCTGGACTAAGGACAAAGGGGACCCTGCAAACTTCCAGCGGGTCTGTATATTAGCCAACAGCTGCCGACTAGGGGGCGAGCCGTACGATCTAGATGCAAAAGCCACGGAACAATATCACCAGAGTTTACGGGGTGCACCGCGGAAAGAATCCACTAGGTCTTGGGGAGTTTGTGACTGTGTGATCCGTGCGAACCAACGCTTTTTCCAGATTTACGGCCAGGGGTGGGTGTCAGGTCCACGTGTGTATACTACACTTTGTTGTGACGACCCTGCCTAGTGTGACATATTTCGTATGTGCGCGTTTCCTTTTATTTTGAGAGGCCATTCCCACGGCTCAGGGTTGCCTTCAAGTCCCCCTCGCGTGAGCTCTTCCCTTCTGAGCCAGAGTGCTCCGAGCGCGGACTCCGTGCGCGTGGCAAAGGCTGAGCCTCAGTCTGGCGCCGTTGTCGGGCAGGACTTCAGCGAGCGCCTTCGGCAGGCGCGCCTCGAGTGCAAGGGTGAGGTGGAGGATGAGTTTGCCCTCGCGTTCGGCAAGCACAAGGGAAATAGCTTCGATCATGGGTGGAAGCAGGAGCGTGGCTATTGTGACTGATGCGCGTCTTACTTGAGCCCGTCATCTGGCTACGCGTAGCAGGCATGGTTAGAGTACCTCGTGCACGGGGCCGAAGAGAGTGCGCCGCGGAGTTCTGGAGCCGCCAAGTCAGCTCCCGATGAGAGTCGAGAGAAACGGATCTCGTCGTTGGAGCATGGAGTAAACGCCATGAGTATGCGCACCTCGTGGCTGGAGTCGGCTGGCGAGAATCCACACATCGACGGCCGCGTCGAGACCTTGGAATGCTGCAGCTCGGGCCAATTACCCAGTCCGCCATTCGCAGCCTTTCGAATGCCTGCATCCACGTTGCGTCAGTCATGGGGGCAGAGTGCCTCGGCATGTGCAGTTGCAGAGATGTTTGACATCTGTTGTTATTAAGGAGTGGTTCTACCAGTATTCGCTTCCGACCTGTCTCTCTGCCCGCGCCTTCTCGTGCCGCCGCCGATTCGGATGCTAGGGACCTTGCGGGTTCTCAGGACAGCCCCAAGATCCTTTCACGATCCCATCCGCGTCAAGATGGACACATGTTGGAATCAGTGGTTTGCCCGCGACGAGGAGGATGATGATGATGAGGAGGAGGATGATGATGATGATGAGGAGGAGGAGGAGGAGGAGGACCAGTTGACGCCCACGGCGCACCAACGATGTTGGAATCAACCCTCCTTCCAATCTCCCTCCCCGCAGGCCCCTACTGGAGTTCATTTCCATTGAGGGAGCTGCCTCGTTCGGGGACAAACGTCCGAAGACACTGAAGCATGCCAAGACGCCATTCTCGGGACTCTAGCGCCGCGGATCAACCTAACTGTTGCGTCTGGACGACCCTGATTTGTGCCAGAACACCATTCTTTGGATTTCACCACCGCGAACCAATGGAACTGTTTCACCTTCACGATCCAGAATCTCTCCAAACCGCAATTTCTGGCACGGTGAGTACGGGAATCCGTGAAACTGGTTCAAACCTTAATTAGAATGTACGCTGCGCCAAGTCGAGAACCACATTTTGAAACTGAACGCCCTCAATCCGTGAGGTTCGTGGAATTTTGAAGACGGATGTGGAGGAGGAGGAGGAGGAGGAGGAGGAGGAGGAGGAGAAGGAGGAGGAGGAGGAGGAGGGAGAGAAGTAGTAGGAGGAGGAAAGAGGAGCAGGAGGAGGAGGGTAAGCAAGAAGGCCAGAGGTCTCTTGGATGCCTCTCGGAGCCTCCTGGGATATCTCTTAGTGGCCTCTTGGGACGTCTTGGGGATCGTTTGGTGGTCCTGGGGGGCTCTTGGGTGTCTTGGGTTCCTCGTGGGGGCCTCTTGGAGCCGCTTGTGGTCCCCTTGGGGGCCTTCTGGGGGCCTTTTGGGGGCCTCTTGGGGCCATCTTGGGGCCATCTTGGGACCTCTTGGGGCCTCCTGGGCGCCTCGTGGGGCCATCTGGGAGGAGATCGATCAAATAAGAGGGGTCCTATCTTAGCGTTGTGCCACCCCCCCCCCCCCCCCAAGAGGCCCAAATGTGGCCCAAACCAAAGTAAAACCAATGATTTTGGCTTCTTCGCCGAGGCCGTTTTGGACGCTCCAATGGGTCGCGACACCGCCCGTCCAGGTCCAGGGGAGGGGAGGGGGAGGGGTAAATCCTTCCCCGAAAGGGGAAAAAGGGGGTTGGAAGAGGAGCTTCCCTAGACCACCTACGCCCAGAGGACTGGTGGGATTTTCAAGCGAGTGTGCGCGGCGGTGAAGCGAGAGCCACATGAAAACGAGTCGCCCTCAATTTGTGGAACTGTTGCCAGCCTTTAAGCTTCAGGGTCACAAGTCGTAAGGAAATCTCAGGCGAACCGCCCGGCCTGGCCCGCCCTTTCGACCAGCTTCGGGGTGCGACAGGGAAGAGTTACTCATCAGGAAAAGGAAAGGAGGAGGAGGAGGAGGAGGAGGAGGACGAGGACGAGGAGGAGGAGGAGGAGGAGGAGGAGGAGGAGGAGGAGGAGGAGGAGGAGGAGGAGGAGGAGGAGGAGGAGGGGACAAATGACACGTTGTGCGGGGAGTGGAAGTGCAAGCACGAAGGGTCCAGGCATCCAGTTCAGGGTTCGCGCTTTTGCGCTTCTTGGTTTCCGGGGATGGTGCTTCGGCATTTCCGAGAGTGGTGCATCGGAGGCGGCAAAGAGGGGGGTGATGACTAGGGGAGGGTTGATGTCATGGCGGGGGCCATGCTATCTCCCCAGATTTCACGGTGCCTCTTCTTATTTCATTACGTGCCTGGCCCCCCCCCCCCGGGCCGCGCACATGCCGCCGGCCATGATTTGCACCTCCCCTCTTGGACGCCCCCCTCTTGGCCGCCCCCGATTCTCGGGTGTTCAGAAATCCGGGGCTCGCGCGTGGGAGTTTTGGGCTTCGCGCCCAGCGTTGCCAGGTGTCGTAGACCTTCCGCTGAGGGGACGCCAGCACCGACACAAGAAATCTGCGAGGATCTCCGAAAGTTAATCTTCGGGCAGTTTTCTTTCTTCAAAGTTCTGGGGGCCAAAGAGCCCAAATCGCCCAGCAGCCCCGATCTCCCTCCGAAGCGCCTGGGCTCTCCGCCGCAGCTGGGCGCCCACGGCTTTCGACGCCTCCTCGCCCAGACCGGCGCAGAGGGACTGGCGGCGCTGGAGCAGGCGTCGCCCGACGAGCCGGGGGCGGCGCAGGGGGTCGGTGCCAGCACGGAATCGAAGAAAAACGGCACGAGTCCAGAGATCCAACGTGTTGAAGAAATTCGCGCGGAGGTTTTTCGCCGTTTTCGGCCTCCAGAGGCTTTCGCTGGGCCCCAAGGCCGTCAAAAACGACTCAGGATGAAAAGCTGGTCCTGGGATGTGGGTCGAGACTTCCAGGGCCCCGTATTGTGCAAATCCAATCGTCGGATCCGTGGGGATATCAACTCTCCGAGGTCCGCTCGGATTTCTCAGTTCGGCGCTGGTGCCCCCCTGGCGTGCTCCGTCCGCCAGGGAGGGGGGGTCAGCGCCGATCCAAGAAATCCGCGCGGACCTCCGAAAGTTTACGCTCATGCTGGCAAGTCTGTGCCGCTCTTTCTTCTTTGCGGAAGCCGCACCCGGCGAGGGCCGCTCGGAGGCTGTCGAGCCGCTGTCTGTAGAGTTGGCTCCAGACCAGTATGCTTGTCGGCGGCGCGCGGGAGAACGGGGTCCACACGTGTGTCTGATCGGTATTTGGTTCGATATGCAGATCTGGCCTGGCCCGATCCGATTCGGTTGCGGTGTTTTCCTTCAACCCGATGCGGCCCGATGTTTGCGCGGCGCTGTTGTACAGTCTGGCGCGGCCGATTCGATTCGTTTTGGATTTCGTGGCGATGCGGCCAGTCCGACGCAAGGTCCGGTGCGGGCGGGTATCGATGGTTTGGGATAGAAGTGTTGAATGGCACGTGAGCAGCTAAGAGCGAATAGTCTTAACGCTGTTGTTGTGGTTGTGTTGTTGTTGTTGCTGTTGTTGTGGTTGTGGTTGTTGCTGTTGTTGTGGTCGTCGTCGTCGTCGTGCTTGTCGTCGTCGTTGTCGTTGTCGTCGTCGTCGTCGTTGTCGTTGTTGTTGTTGTTGTTGTTGTTGTTGTTGTTGTTGTTGTCGTTGGCGTTGTTGTGGTTGTGGTTGTTGTTGTTGTTGTTGTTGTTATTGTTGTTGTTATTGTTGTTGTTGTTGCTGTTGTTATTATTGTTGTTGTTGTGATTGTGGTTGTGGTTGTGGTTGTTGTAATTGTGGTTGTTGTTGTTGTTGTTGCTGCTGCTGTTGTTGTTGTTGTTGTTGTTGTTGTTCTTGTTGTTGTTGTTGTTGTTGTTGTTGTTGTTGTTGTTGAATTCTCATTTCTGAAGAATAATTATTGTTGATCCCCCCACCGGTGCATACTGTTTTTCTCAATCAAAGTGTGCCCCTCGACGCTCGCACCCTGTTTTTTGACAGGGAAAGTCTTGATGCTCAAACTGGGCCCCTGGCCCTTGGGTTACAACAACAACGACTCCCAGTTAAGACTTCCTTACAATTTAGCCAGGACCCCCGCTCCCGCCGAGACTTCCTCGCATTTAACTCAGGAATCGCGCTCTCGCTTGGGATTTCCTTGCAATGTATTCAGGAATCGCTCTCCCGGCGCTCTGGAGTCGCGCTCTCGCTGGAGACTTGCATGCAACTTACTGAAGAAGACTTGCGCAGGCCGAAAGGTTTTCGTCTTGAGCCCCACATGTCGGAAGCGACGCGCCGATCCCCTTTGTTCTCCTCCCACCTCATTTTGCCTTGTCCCTCATCCTTCCCCTCTTCATCCTGGGAAGACCCCCCTCCCCCGTAGAATCATAGCATTGGTATGCAGATCCACGGCCCCGTGGACAGCATGATGCTTCACTTGCGGTGCTCCGCGGATCCCATTTCCCCTCGGTCCCGGATGTTAACTATTATTATATATTTATTCCCGGAAAATAGATGGATCCATCGTTTTTCACACACAGGAAATTGGATCCGCGCAGCACAGAAATAGGATCCACGAAACTCTCCCACACCCGAAAAGGGATCCAACTGGATCCATTGATGTTCTCATATTTTAGTCCAAGAGGAAAAAACTTTCGGCCTGGGGATGTAGCCTTGCGTTCTAATTTCCTGCAATGTGCCCAAGCGCCGCGCTCCCGACACCCAGGCACCCAGGAGTCGCGCCCGTTGTGGCCCCATATGCATGCCCTTCGTGGCCCCGCTGTGGCCATTTGTGTCCCCCTCACTGTCCTACGTGGCCCAGTTGCTATTTTCAGTGACCCCATAGTTGCCTTCTGTGGCCCCGCATTATCTGCACTTCGTGGCCCCCGCTCGTTCGCGTTCTTCGTGGCCACATACGCATTCCCTTCATGTCCCCGCTGTCGCCCTTCGTGGCCTACTTCGTGCCCTTCGTGGCCCTGCTGTCGTTCTCTCTCGCTCTCGCTTTCGCACGTCGTCGCCGTCGTCGTCGTCGTCGCCGTCGTCTTCGACGTCGTCGTCGTCGTCGTCGTCGTCGTGGTCGGTCCCCTGTCCGTCCCTCTTGGGGTCGGGTCGACGGTCCGCGGCCGCCCCGCCGATCAGCGCTGCCGCTGGCCAGGCCGACGGTCCGCGGCCGCCCCGCCGCTTGCCGGGGCCCGGCCTGCAGGGAAGAAAGGTATACCCCCCAAAAGGGGTTCGATCGAAGACGAAGAGGGCGGGTATCGAGGGTTTGGGAAATACGCGTTATTGGACACTCGAGCATCTACGGGCGAACGGTCTTAACTTATTATTGTTAATGTTGTTGTTGTTATTGTTGTTGTTGTTGCTGTTGTTGAGTCTCATTATTGAAGAACAAATTATTGTTGATCCCGCTTCTGGTGACCATTTTATTTTTCAATTGAAATGCTTCCCCTGGGGCTCGCACCTAGTTTTTAGAAGGGAAAGTCACTGGGCTCAAACTGGGTTGTTGGTCCCCGGTTGAAAACAACAGCGGCTCCCGCCTGATACTTCCTCACATTTTTTTCCCGGATCGCGCTCTCGCGCGGGATTTCCTCACGAAGTGTATACGAATCGTGTTCTCGCGAAGGAATTCCTTGCAATCTATTCAGACGATGCGCCCTCGGTGTTCAGGAATCATGCTCTCGCTTTGGCTTTTCTCACGATTTACTTGGGAATCGCGCTATCGCTCGAGACTTCCTAGCGATTCATGCAGGACTCAACCTTCAGCAACCCGCCTGCTCGCCTGGGCCCGCCTTCCCGACCTGCCGGCTATGGGTCTGCCCACCCTATCTGCCTGTCAGGTTCTACCATTTGTTTTCTGCTCGTTGCCCCCCTCCTGCTAATTTCTCTCGTGCTCCATTCTTCTCCCTCCCCCTTCCACACGTCTTATCTTCCCTTGCTTTAGGGGCTGCACTAAATGCACGTGGCAGGTAAGGGAGATTCACCCCCAAGGGGGTACGATCGAAGACGACGAGGGCAGGTACTGAGGGCTTGGGATATACGTGTTCAATGGTACGTGAGCAGATCAGAGCGAGCAATCTTAAACTGATTGTTGTTGTTGTGGTTGTGGTTGTGGTTGTGGTTGTGGTTGTGGTTGTTGTTGTTGTTGTCGTCGTTGTCGTTGCTGCTGCTGCTGCGGCTGCTGCTATTGTTGTTGTTGTTGTTTGTTTGTTTGTTTGTTTGTTTGTTTGTTTGTTTGTTTGTTGTTGTTGTTGTTGTTTATGTTGTTGTTGTTGAACATTATTTCTTCTTAAGAATAATTATTGTTGGGACCCCTGGTGCACGACCCCCCCGCCGCGCCTAGGCCGCAGCCTCATTTTCATCATTTTCGTGAGGAAGTCTCAGGCAAAACGGGGGAGTCCGGATCCGGTTGTGTTGTTACGATCGGTTTTCCCTTGCAAAAAATAAGCTAAAGTGGACATTTCTTGTTCTAACATAACCAAACTTCAAGAATCCCTTGCAAAAAATAAGGTAAAGTGGACATTCGCGCGCGCAAGACGAAATCCTTCCAAAACCTTAGTTTTCGTAGCGATTTTAACATAAAAACATAAAAAACAATGGTTTTTCAAAAAAAATTGTCAAAATTTCATCCCGCGCGCTCTTGCGGATTCGTAGGAAACCCAACACTTTTTAATCATTTCTGTCAAACGGGCTTTTGCGAGCAACTTTTTCGAACTTCTGCAACAACGGTTGCGCACCTGCCAGGGCCATCATCCCTGTCAAATAATACCATGCGGGACACATTCGTTTTTTCTTCGCGCGCGCACGCCGTCGTCGTCGGCCGCGGGGCCCTGAATAGTAGCCACGGTCGTCCGCATGCCACGAAGTGAAGTGTCCGAACGTCATAGGGCGGGAAGCTGGGTGTGGGTGGTGGCGAAGAGTCGTTTGGAAATTTGGTAGAGCTTGAACCGGCCCCCCCACAAAGTGGGGGTATTGCCCGCCTCCTATGAAAACCCTGGCACTGGTGAGAACGGTGTGTCCCCACGTGCTAGTAATTGTTGTTGTTGTTGTTGTTGTTGTTGTTGTTGTTGCTGTTGTTGTTGTTGTTGTTGTTGTTGTGGTTGTGGTCGTTGTGGTTGTGGTTGTGGTTGTGGTTGTGGTTGTGGTTGTGGTTGTTGTTATTATTGTTGTTGTTGTTGTTGTTGTTGTTGTCGTTGCGTTGGTGTCGTCGTCCTCGTCCGCGACCCCCCCACGACCCGCCCGCGACCCACCCCGCAACCCACCCCGCGACCCACCCCGCAACCCACCCAGCGACCCACCCGCGACCCACCCACGACCCACCCGCGACCCACGCACATTGCTTTAACATGCTTTGACAAAAGAATCGGCGCTCTCGGCGGCTCGTTATATAATTTATCGGAAATCTGCGCCTGCGGCGGGCTTCTTCAGAGCCTCGCAGACTGCCGACGACCCCGCCACACCCTCACTCTTATCCCATGGAAGGAATCGAGCGCATTCGAACGGAGGCGGAGCTGAAGCGGAACGGAAGTGGAACGCAAGTGGAGCTCGTGCAGTGTATGTCGACGGCGAGCCCAGGGGGGAAGTGAGAAGGAAAAGGCCTTTTCAGAAAGTTCCGAAGCTCCCGGGCCTTCTGAGAAGCGTCCAAAGTCTTCCCTGAAGACACCACAAACTTCTCAGAAGACGCGAGGGCTTCTGAGAGGTCCGGCCGCCGTCTGAGAAGGCCTCCCCCTTCTCACTTCCACACCCTCTTTCGCCGCCGAGTATGCCCGTGTCCAAACGTCAGCGCACAGTACAAGGGCGCCCATCTGCGCCCCGCCCTGCGCGCCGCCGAGTTTGGCTGTGCGACCTCGCCGTCGCGCACCACGGCGGGGACGCGTCCCTGGCCGCCGCCGCCGTGCTGCGCGCCTGCGCGGAGCGCGCGGACGACCGCGAGGTGTTCGGGGTGATCCGCTGCAAAAGCGCGACGCCGTCGACGTGCGACGGGTACTTGGACGCGGTCCAGAGACAACAGGCTCTTGTTCGAGGCGGGGATCTATACATGACCGCCGCCTGGAAGGTCGATCTTCCCGGACCCCCACGGGCGGTGGATGTGGACACACACACACATATATTTATATATATATATACATATATATATACGTATATACACATATATGTATGTATGTATGTATGTATGTATGTATGTATGTATGTATGTATGTATGTATGTATGTGTGTGTATGTATATGTATATGTATATGTACACGTATATGTATACGTATATGTATATGTATATGTCTATATATATGTATATGTATATGTATATGTATTCGTATATGTATATGTATATGTCTATGTCTATGTCTATGTCTATGTCTATGTCTATGTCTATGTCTATGTATATGTATATGTATATTATAAATATATGTATATGTATATGTATATATATTTGTATGTGTATGTGTATGTGTATGTGTATGTGTATGTGTATGTGTATGTGTATATGTCTATGTATATGTATCTGTATATGCATATGTATATGTATACGTATATGTATATGTATATGTATATGTATATGTATATGTATATGTATATGTATATATATATGTATATGTATATGTGTATGTGTATAATATATATATATATATATATATATATATATATATATATATATATATATATATATAATATATATATATATGTAGGCCCCGAGGGGCCTACATATCTCCGTATCACCGCCCTGGAACCGACGGAGCGTTTTTTTTCACTACGTCGACCCCCAGACCCCTTCCCCGGGACGGGTGTTTCATCCCGAGCCGTGTTCTGACGGTCTCGAGGCCCTGGTGAGGGCCCGCAGGGATGCTCTCGCAACGCAAGGGGGGTCTGGGCGACGCACAGCACCCCAGGGTCCCCAGGACGTCGGCTCCGCGGGCGGTGGACGTGGATGGATCCCCGCCCTGCATCCCTCGAATGAGGGCTGCAGAATTGAGAAACCCCCACAGTTGATTTTTCGTGTCGAGTCCGTGGAAGATGCGTGGAACTTTGGTGCATCTGCGAACGTTCGGCGCACTCGTTGCTAGATTCGGGGTGAAAGTCACATTTGTGGCAAGTCAATATTTGTGGCAAGTCGATTCTGTAGTCGATCCCCGCCTCGCATCCCGGCACGCCCAGGGTGCCCCCCCCCCTCCAGAGGCCCCGAGATCCAGGCGCCAGCCCCGTGCCTTCGCGCCGGGCATCCTCGCCCGGCCTCGGGCTCCCGGAGCCGTCGCAGATCGAGCCGGCCCGAAGCATGCAGGGGCAACGGTGGGTGGAACGTTAGAGGGGGGGGGATAGGCTCCGGGGGGCACGGCTCGGGTTCGAGGTTGGAGGTTCTCTCGCTTTTTCGTGGGTCCTCGGCGGTTTTCCAGCCTCGGGGTGCGTGCGTTCCAGCAGTTTCGCCTCGCCGACGGCGTTCCAGGGGTGCCCGGATTAGCCGAAACGGCCACCCAAGGCCCGAGTTATGGCCTGAAAACCGAAGCCCGAGCCAGGGGCAACGGTAGGAGAGGGGGGGGTAGGCCTAGGGGGGGATGCATCGGCCTCCAATCGCCCATTGATCGGCGATGAACGACCGATTCCAGATCGATGTTCTCCCCTCCTCCCCTATGCCAGCCCCCTCCCCTATCGTTGCCCCTGAAACATGCGGCAGGAAGATGGAGTCTGGAGCTCCTGTTGTGTTTTTTGTGCGACGTTGACATTTTTCTCGCAACGTCGGATCTCGGGGGGGGCCCGAAGAGGCTCTCTCGAGGGTCTCCTGGGCCATCTTGGGTGCCCAGCAGGACAGTGCCAAGAGACCGCGGTCTTCAAAACGTTTTTGTTCGCTTTGTTGTTTTGTTGGCTTGTCTGCTTCTTTACTGTGGAAGCACATCGTATGGTATCGTTCTTGCTTTTACTGTGACGCCTCCGCCTCCTCACCTTCTCCCGCCTCACTCACACTCAGAGAGTACTCATACTCAGGCCACACACTCAGATCCACTGGTACCCATACCCTCTCACATGCATACTCACTCATGATCAGATCACACCAACGTCCACGCATGCTCAGCGTAGTCATGCTCAGACTCGTACGAACAGTCCACTCACACTCTGATCAGTAACACTGATGCGTCTTCATATTCAGACTCCTTCATCGTCATATTCACATTCAGTCATATCCACACTTTTATTAATCACACTCAAACCCACTCATACTCGCTCCTTATACTCCGACTCGCCCATGATCACTGCGGGAACTCCAAGGTGGAACCGCCAGGGGGTATGATACTTGCTCGTTCGCGCCCAGATATGGGCCGTCTCGAGCGAGGCGTTCGTATGGAGTCTCTGACCTGTCTCTTTTGAGAGCCTCCTGATAACTGCGATACAGCAGGCATAGCACTTGGGCACCCCAAGGGGAGCCAGCAGGGGGCGGTATGGAACTTGCCCGCTCGCGCCCAGATTGTGGGGATGTCTAGAGCGAGGCGCTTGCTAGGGATTCGGGGCTCCTCCCTCTTGAGAGTCGCATGGTCCGCGATGCAGGAGGCACAGCACTTGGTCACCCCAAGGGGGCCCGCCAGGGGATAGCGTACGGCGGCAGAGAGAAGGCAGCACATGGCTGCTGTGCGAAGTAGAGAGGAGCGTTCACATTCGGACTTGCACACGTTCAGTCTTACTCGCGATCTGATTACCCGCTCGGGTATCCAAAGAGGACGCTGTTAGAAAATGTGATGCACATCTTGGGATCCTCGCGTCGAATGTTTATTCCTGTTTTTCACTTTCTATATTGGTAGGATTCTCGCCTTCTCAGCCTTTCAAGCGCGCACGACAGCCCTAGATGCCCCCAAGGACTAGCCCAGGGTGCTTAGATACTCTCCAGGAGGACTCCAAGGCGGCCCCAAGATGGCCCCGAGAGGGCCCACACGACCACCCTCTCTCTCGTCCTCCTCCCCCTCGTCCTCCCTCTCTTCCCTCCCTCCCTCCTCCCTCACTCTTCCCTCCTCCCTCTTCCCTCCTCCCTCCTCCCTCCTCCCTCTTCCCTCCTCCCTCCGAAGCCATTCGGGCTCAAGCCGCCCACAGCGGGCGAACCCCCTCTGCTCAAGCCGGCAGGGCATGCTCCTTCGGTTCCGGAGCTTTAGGCGGTGCGCTGCGCTGGAGCTGCCGAGTGGCGCGGGGCTGGATCGCCACCAGGCGGTCCAGGTGAAGGCCGAGGGAGACGCTCTCGTTCTGAGCGCACTGCGGCGGGCCAGCGGGCGGAGGCCTCCGCCGAGGCGGCGGTGCACAGCCTGGAGGAGCGGCTCGCGCTCGGCGCGGAGAGGATCAGCGAGTTGGGGGAGCAGCTGGTCGTGCTGAGGGTCGCCTGGAGAGTTTCTCCGAAGGGCTTTGGCGACCCGTCCGCCTCCTCCCCCTCCTCCTCCTCCTCCTCCTCCTCCTCCTCCTCGGGTCGCCTACGGCCCCGGGGGAAACCGTGCAGGTTCGCCCTGGGCGACGATCCCGAGCTGGCAGCTCGACTGGCGCTGGTTGCTCCTGTCTTGGCGGCGAGGCTGAGTGGCAAGGAGTGCGGCGTTGTCGAGACCGCTCGGCGCAGCACGGCCTCGCACTGCTTCACGGTCCATGCTACCACGCTGGCGGACGCCCCGCTCCCGCTGTTCAAACACATCCAGCGCAGCGCCAGGCGCCGCGCCAGGCGGCAGAGAGGGCGGGCGGATGGCGTGCCCGCGGAGTCGTCATTGCGTAGCGGGGCGCGAGTGCCATGTGGTGGAGCTCCAGAGGCACATCGCGTGCGAGTGGTTACATCCTGGATGGTTCTGGAGTCAAGCTAGCGGGCTCGAGGCCGAGGCTCGTGCTGCTCCAGTTCGTCTTCGTCGGGAGCCGCTGGGGCTGCCGCCCGATCCTGGCGAGGGCTTTCTGTTCGCTTGGCGTCGGCATGCCGCTGACACTCAACATAATTTGGTTCCTCTTCATGTCTAGGGGCCTCGAAGGCTCAGGCCTTTCTTTTGCGTGAGTATGTGGCTTGCTCTTGCGCGGATTGTGTTGTGTGTGGCCTCCTGGCGTTGTCTGCGCTGTACGTGGCTTCCTGGTACAACAGAAGCATGGGGCAGCTGTCCTCCGCGATCGTGCTTTCGGAGCTTCTCGTCGTGGGCGGGTGGACTATTACTGTTTGAATGCCTCGCAGCGTATTTTCTGGTTCGTGGTGGCAAAGGTCTTGGGCTTCTTCATAACGTTTTTCGCCCCTTGTGATGGGTCCTTGGCCGTGGATGTCCTCCGCCCTCCCTCCTCCCTCCTTCCTCCCCTCCCCGCCTGTCTCCTCCTCCTCCTCCTCCTCCTCCCTCCCTCCCTCCCTCCCTCCCTCCCTCCTCCTCCTACTCTTCCTCCTCCTCCTCCTCCTCCTCCACCTCTTCCTCCTCTTCCTCCATCTCCTCCACCTCCTTCCCCTCCTCCTCCTCCTCGTCCTCCTCCTCCTCCTCCTCCCACTCCTCCTCCCCCTCCTCCTCCACCTCCTCCTCCTCCTCCTCCTCCCGCCGACCTCCACGGGCGCCAGAAACGCCAGTGGCAACCTCCTCCATCCCTCGCTCCTTTCTCCCTCCCTCCCTCTTTCTTCGCCCCCTCCCTCTCTCCCTCCGTCCCTCGTTCGTTCCCCCTTTTCCCTTCTCGCCTTCTCCCGTCAGGGCAGCGGCGCGCCCGAGGGCCCGGCTACGGGCGGCGCGCCCGCGGCGGCCTGAGCCCCACCCTGCGGTGTGCCGCCGCGGCTCGCCGAAGAAAATGCGGGGTCTGGTGGTGAGGACGACGTTCATGATGATGATGATGCTGCTGCTGATGATGCTGATGATGATGCTGATGATGATGATGATGCTGATGATGATGCTGCTGATGATGCTGATGATGATGATGCTGATGATGATGCTGCTGATGATGATGCTGATTATGATGATGCTGATGATGATGATGATGATGATGATGCTGCTGCTGATGATGATGATGGTAATGATGATGATGCTGCTGCTGATGATGATGATGACGATGATGATGATGACGACGATGATGATGCTGCTGCTGATGATGCTGATGATGATGATGATGCTGCTGATGATGATGATGCTGATGATGATGCTGATGATGATGCTGATGATGATGCTGCTGATGATGATGATGCTGCTGATGATGATGATGCTGATGCTGATGCTGATGATGATGATGCTGATGATGATGATTATGCTGCTGCTGATGATGATGATGATGATGATGCTGATGCTGATGCTGATGATGATGATGATGATGCTGATGATGATGATTATGATGAGACGATGATGATGATGATGATGATGATGATGTTGATGATGATGATGATGCTGTGATGATGATGATGCTGATGCTGATGCTGCTGATGATGATGCTGATGATGATGATTATGATGATGATGATGATGATGATGATGATGATGATGATGATGCTGATGCTGCTGATGATGATGAGATGATGAGACGATGATGTGATGATGATGATGATGGATGATGATGATGATGATGATGATGATGATGATGATGATGATGATGATGATGATGATGATGATGCTGCTGATGCTGCTGCTGATGATGATGATGGATGATGACGACGACGACGACGACGATGATGATGATGATGATGATGATGATGATGATGATGATGATGATGATGATGATGATGATGATGCTGATGATGATGATGAGATGATGATGATGATGATGATGATGATGATGATGATGATGATGATGAGATGCTGATGATGATGATGATGATGATGATGATGATGATGATGATGATGATGATGATGATGATGATGATGATGATGACGATGATGATGATGAGGAGGAGGAGGAGGAGGAGGAGGAGGAGGAGGAGGAGGGGGAGGCGGAGGAGGAGGAAGAGGAGGAGGAGGGAGGAGGAGGAGGAGGAGGAGGAGGAGGAGGAGGAGGAGGAGGAGAGGAGGAGGAGGAGGAGGAGGAGATGAGGAGGAGGAGGAGGAGAGGGAGAGGAGGAGGAAGAGGAGGAGGAGGAGAGGAGGAGGAGGAGGAGGAGGAGGAGGAGGAGGAGGAGGAGGAGGAGGAGGAGGAGGAGGAGAAGAGGAGGAGGAGGAGGAAGAGGAGGAGGAGGAGGAGGAGGAGGAGGAGGAGGCGGCCCCCCTGGACAGGGGGGGGGACTCTCCTGGTTCGAACCCTACCCTTTTCCAACTCAGGGGGGGTGGGGCCCTTCCCCGGTTCGAGCCCCCCTCCTCTCCTAGGTCGGGGGTGGGCCCCCCACCACCCTTCACCCTTGGAGGAGGCCGGTGTCCAGGGGGGGGGCCCCCTTTGGTTGTCCAAGGGCGCTCAATGTTTTTCTGGGGGGCCCCGCTGGTTCCAACGTGTTAAGTTGTTTTTTCAGGCAAGCGTCCACGAAACGCGTTCTCTCTGTCCTTGTCCTCGTCCGTCCTTCTGTTTGTCGCCCTCCCCTCACCTCCCTTCGCCCCTGTCCCCCTCCCCTTCTGCTTCTGCTTACCCTTCTCATTCCTCCCCGGCCGCCATCCCGTGCAATATCATCCTCGCCCCCTCCTCAAATCATACTGGTTTCCAACCTCCTCGTCTCCGATACCCTCGCCTTCCACGCCCCCTCCTCTACCTGTTCCTGCTCTTGGTTGTGCGCTTCCTCCGCCCTCTGCCTCCTGCCTTCTGCTCCTCTTCGCTCACGTCGCTGCCCTGGACCTCGCCGTTGTCTTGGTCATCGTCGTTGTCGTCGCCATCGTCGTCGTCGTCGTCGTCGTCGCCGTCGTCGTTGTTCTTCTCCTGTCGCTCTTCTCCCTCTGAAGCCGTGCCCTCTGGACCTGGCCTGGCCTTTCCTTCGCTGCCGCGGAGAGTTGGACTCTCCCTGAAACGTCGTCCTCGCCGTACTCCTCGCCCTCGTCCTCAGCTTCGTCGTCTTCATCCTCGTCGTCGTGTCCTCGTCCTCTTCTCCTAGTCCTGGTCCTCGTGCTCGTCGTTGTTGGCCGTCGGAAGCTTACGCAGCTCCCTCCTCCAGACAGGTGCCGGCGGACGAGGAGGACGACCAGCCTTTCGAGAGGAGCCGCCGCTTTCCCCCCCGGGTCCACGGGGGCTCTACGGGCCCTTGGCTCCACGAAGCCCCGCGGGGCCCCGGGGAGCCCAAAGGAGCCCCCGAGGAAGGCCGTGGGAATGCCCCAGGAGGCATCGGGAAGCCAGGGACGGAGGACTCTGCCAGCGCTGCGGCGCCCCTGCTTGAGATGGGTTTCCCTCGTTCTCCTCATCCCTGTCCCCCTGTCCACGTCCCCCCCGCCCTAAGTTACTCTCCCGTCCCCTCAGCCTGCTTCTCCTCCCTCCCTCCCTCCCTTCCTCCCTCCCTCCCTCCCTCCCTCCATCCCTGTCTGCTCCCTCGTCTCCTCTCTTGCATCCGCTGCTCTACCTATCTATCGATCTATATCTCTCTCTATCTATATCCATACGTGCGTCCATATATCTGTATATATACACCTAAATGTATAATCTATTTGTACACATGCATACATGTACATATACATATTTGTATATACATATATATATACATAAAAGTCTACCTCTCTATATCTATATAGCTTTCTAGCTATTCATCTACCTATCTATGTATGTATGCGTATGTATGCACGAATGTCTGTCTGTCTGTCTGTTTGACTGCCTTTCTGGCTGTATGTATGCTTGTATATATGCATGTATGTCAGTGTGTATGTGTCTGTCTGTCTGTCTGTCTGTGTGTCTGTCTGTCTGCCGGTATGTATGTATGTACGTATGTATGTATGTATGTATGCATGCATGTATGTACGTATTGATGCACGCATGTATGTATGTATGTATGTATGTATGTATGTATGTATGTATGCATGCATGCATGTATGTATGTATGTATGTATGTATGTATATATGTATGTATGTGTGCATATGTATGTATAGGCATGTATGTATGTATGTGTGTATGTATGTATGTATACATGCATGCATGCATGCATGCATGTATGTATGCATGTATGTATGTCTACATGTATCTCTAGGTATGTATGTATGTATGTATGTATGCATGCATGCATGCATGCATGCATGTATGTATGTATGTATGTATGTATGTATGTATGTATATATGTATGTATGTATGTATGTATGTATATATGTATGTATATATGTATGTTTGTTTGTATGTATGTATGTATGTATGTATGTATGTATGTATATATGTATATGTGTATTTGTGTGTATGTATGTGTATGTATGTATGTATGTATATATGTATGCATGTATGTATGCATGTATGTATATATGTATGTATGTATGTATGTATGTATGTATGTATTTATGTATGTATGTATGTATGCATGCATGTATGTATGTACGTATGTATGCATGCATGTATGTATGTATGCATGCATGCATGCATGCATGTATGTGTGTATGCATGTCTGTATGTATGTGTCTATGAAAGACCCCGGGCTCCGCGCACTCCGCTGTCATTTCTGGCAAATCTCTGGCACCATCCTTCTGGGCGTCCAAGAGAGCCCCCGGAGAGCCTGAAGACGGCCCAGGACGCCCCCGAGACAGCCCAAGAGGGCTCCTAGGATGTCCAAGGATGTCCTGAAGACGGCCCTGGAAGCGCCCAAGAGTATTTAGGATCGCCCCAAGAGGCCTCCCAGAGTCCCCCAAGAGCTCTGGGGAACCCCTCGAGAGGCCCAAATCATTGAAAACCATGCGGGACATCAATGATTTTCTGTTTTCTCGCACTTCCGCCTCCGACACGCTTCCGAGGCTTGAGCATGGCCCCCAAGAGAGCTCCAGGAGGCCCCCAAGAGGCGTCCCGAGCGGCGCGAAGTGACCCCAAGAGGCCACAAGAGGTTCCCATGACAACGAGATCCCAGGAATCGCCCCCACAGGCACCCAGCGCCGAAGGGGGTCCAGGTCCCTTAAAAACTCCTCAGGAGTGAGGGCTCAGGACCTGATGACACGCCCACTCCGTGCCCTGAGGCACGGTGTCGGATACATACACATACATGTATGTATATCACAGCTTAGGGGAACCACCGGAATTCAAGTGGGCCATCCATTGTGTCCACTTCGATTCGATCGATCCGATTTCATGTCGATTCCGTGCCGATGCAGCCCGATCCGATGCGAATTTCGATTCGATCCGATTTACCGATTCGATGCTGACTGATCCTGGCATCCTGTGGGGTAGGGCCGCCTTGGGCCTGCCTCAGGGGCAACGACAAGGGGGATAGGCATAGGGGGGATGCATCGACCCCCAATCGCCCATGGATCTCCGATAGGGGCCCGATAGCCCCAACCTGCCCAGGAACGTGCGGATTCATGATCGGGGGCCACTCGCCGATCTATCGGCGATGCATCGCCGATTCCAGGGCGATGTTCCTCCCTATGCCCTTCCCCCCTATCGTTGCCCCTTACGGCCTGCGGGGCCTCAGCGCCAGCGTAGCACCGAGGCGGCGCCAGCGCGGCTCGGCCGGTGCTGCCGGGCCCCCAGCGGGCCGCGGGGGCGCGCCGCGGGCGGGGGCGGCTCTGCCGGGTCCGCCCCGGAGAGGCGGCGGAAGCCTCTCGGGGCCGTCTGCCAGAGATTCTTCTTTGCTGCCAGCTGTTCTGGGGCGTTTCTCGGCGGCGAACGAGGGGGGCAAGTGAGGAGGCGAAGGCCTTTCCAGAAGGCGGCGGGGCTCCTCAGAAGCCCTCGCACCTTCCGAGACGTGTTCTGTGCCTTCGGGGAAGGCTCAGAAGACCTCGTGGAAGGCTGGAGAGCTTCCGAGCCTTCTTAGAAGGCCCGCCCCTTCTCACTCCCCCCCCTCGGGCTCGCCGCCGATACTCGAGGGCGCTTCGGCCCCGCGCGGCGGTGCGCGGGGCATGATGCAGGTCGGTGTCCGGTGTCCGATGTCAGAGCTCCGCAGGGCTTTGAGGGGGCTGCGGCCTCACGCGCCTTGCCCAAGCGGGCACAGGTGCACGCGCTTCGCCGCATCTCGTCGAACGCGATCCACTGCTCGCAAGGTGCCGACTCGCAAGCGCCAGAAAGAGCAAATGCCCGCCTCTATGTGATGGATCGCGAAGCTCCCGCGGCGGATCTGGGCCATTCGCGCATAGGTACTTTTGCGAGCAGTGGAACGCGCTTGTCCAGCTTCAGCCTGCACTGGCTGTCTGCGACGGTCGTGATCGAAGTATGAATGAATAAATGATACGGGCGCGACCCCCTCGCGTCGTGAAGAAATCACGACGGACGGTGCCCGCCGATTTTCGGCCTCTGGGGGGCCTCGCCGGGCCCGGGGACCGTCTGAAAACGGCTCGGAATGAAGAGTCGGCCCCAAGGCTTGGGTCGAAACCTCAGCGTGTCGACTTCTGGATTTTTAAAAATCCTCTGGTGCGTGACAAAGGTCGTTACCCAGCCCCCCCTCCCTCTCCCCCCTCCGGCTAACGGTGACGATCGTGCGTAGGGGGGGAGGGTTCTGGACCCACTCCGTTTGCAGGTGCTCACGCGCATATGTTGGCGATCGCAGCGCACCCACGCCCCGAAGCGCCCCAGCACGCCCAAGCGTTACTGTTACCTGGGGCCCCAACCCTCTCCTGGGTGACGACCGTTATTGGAGATACTTTACAAGCGTTGCCAGAGACACGAGGGTCATGCGTGATTTTGTGAAAGAGCGCGTTCCGTGGACGCTGGGCAGGGGATTGGGGGCGGTTTGAACCGCCCCCCCCCAAGATGCAAAGGAGCGGGGGGTTCGAACTGGGGGGGGACCCCTCCCCCATCCCCCCTCAAGGAGGTGGGGGGGTTCGAACCGAGGCCCCCCCTCCCCTGGGTTGCAGGGGGGGGTCGAACCGGGGGGCCCCCCCCGCCGAAGGAGGGGGGTCGAACCGGTCGTGGCTCAGGTTCTTGTTTAAAGAAGTCCTAGTTCGGTTCTCTGCCGGACTCCTCGGGGCTGCGATATCGACGCGGCAACCCAAAGCTTAGACGTCTCGTTGTCATGACGAGCCCGGCTTTTCTGAGCTCCCTGTGAAGACAAACATCATGACGAGCCCCTCGTTGCTGCATGACGAGCCCCTCGTTGCTGCCGCCGCGCGCCGCCGCCGCCCACGGGCCGCCGCCACCTCCGCTGGCGCCGCTGGGCCGCTGCGGCAGCCGCCCCGACCTGCGGCCTGCCCGTGGCTGCCGTTCCGCCGGCCGGGCCGACCCGCCCTGGCAGGACAGTCACCTTCGCCGCCCGCGGCCCCGAGCCCGAGGCGCCCGAGCACGGCCTCCCGCGGCCTCTGCTGCCACGCGCGCGCGCGCCGCGCGCATCGCCCCTCGGCGCCGCCGCCGCTGCGCCAGCGACACGCGCCGCGGCCGCGCGGATCGCCGCGTCGCTGTGCGCCGGGCGCCGTCCCGCAGAAGTCCAGCGCCTCGAACAAATCCAGGCGACGCTCTTTTTCGCTGCTTTTCCGGCTTCCAGAGGCCCTCGTGGGGTCGGTCCTGCGGCCATCAACGAGCGACTCAGGATGAGGAGCTGTCCCAGGGAGCGGGTCGAGCTTTCCAGGACCCCGCATGGGAAAAGTCAGGACACCAGCGGATCTCTGGGTCCGCCCGCCGCGCCGGGGGCAGCTCCCAGAGGCCCCCGAGGATCGGCGGCGGCAACTGGGGTGTACACATGGGCCCTCAGAGGCGCTCGCTGCGTTCTTGCCGCGGCGCAACGGGTTCGCTCGGCGCGGGAGGGCCCAGGTCGGGTTGCGAAGCGTCCTTTTCGCACCACCGATGCGGGGGAGGGCGAGGGCGGCCGCGGAGAGGGGGCCGCGGGCGGAGGAGGAGGACGAGGACGAGGAGGACGAGGAGGAGGAGGAGGAGGAGGAGGAGGAGGAGGAGGACTCTATGACCTGACTGGTACCTGCTACATAGCAATGCACAAGAGAGAAGCGGCACCTCGCGCCTCCACTTGAAGATCGGGGCGAACGGCGATGGGCCGCTCTATCGGGCGGGGGCCGCAGATCTGGCAGCCTCCTCCCTCGCCTTGACACGCGCGTGCAAGGCAGCCATTCGAGCTTCATAACTCAAAACTGAATCAGGATTCGAACGAGCAACGCTGGTCGAAATCGAAACTGGCTGGGCAACGTCTGGGACCAACCTCTGGATGGGAGCGACAACATCGATTCGCCTGGCCAAACGTTTGTGTGGCCCTATTCCCCTCCTGAGATTGCGAAGCACTTCCTGGCCCTTGGTCGTAGGTTTCACGCAAGGGGCCCTGAGCTTCTCCCTCCGACGTTGCTGAGCCCAGCCTCCACAGAGAAAACAAACGAAGACTGGGGCCGTGCAGGCTGATCCCGCACAGCTCCAGGAGGATCAACTTCCCTGGGGAACAGCAACCAACTGATGGCCTATGGGATTTTGCTTGAAATTGCGCAAAAACTTGGGCAGCCCCTCGCACCCCAATAGAGGTCTGTCTCTGCCAGGCTCAAGGACGCACAGGCAATTCCTACATTGGGTGCCGATGGAGGTCTTACACCAATCGTGCCAGTTTTCTCTCACCGTGTTTTTGGAACGAGCAACAACGGGGAGCCTAGAACACCTGTCCTCCTGCTCGAAACACGGGAGAACGAAAGCACACAACTTAACAAAGTTCGAATAATCCGCGCTGGCCTCATCAACTCTCTCCAGGAACTCAGGGGAGGCGGACGGATACAACAGCGTAGCCTTTTTTGCGAAGGCATCGGCGACAACATTTGCATCGGTGATGCGCTTCTCCTCGTCCGTGAGCGCAGCGTACTGTTCGCCTGACTTGTGGGCTTTGATGTGCTGGACGTGGTCGATGTTATCGTAGCCGCGCATCGAGTAGCCAAAGAATTGCACGCACGAGTACATTGACTTAGCCTGCAACTGTTCTTGCTTCGACTTGACAGCGGCTCGAACGACGGCCACGAAGTCTGCAAATACCGACGATGGTCTATCTGCAATCTGCCCCACAGAAGCCATGCTCAAAAACTCTGCCATCGCTGAGACTGTGGCATGGCCTGAGGAACTGCTCCATACATGACAGCTGCTGGTGTGCTAGACGAAGGGGTCATCAGCACCACTGCCCATCCAGCTTTCTGAAGAGTGTAGAGGGGCGGCTTCGTACAATATCCATCAACTGCGAATTATAACTTATCGCCCTGGATGAGCTGCTCAGCTAGATCTTCAGGCTGAGCATCAATGTCGTCACCGCTGGGCGTAACGATCTGCGCATGTACACCTGGGTCCAGCGGTGGAATGTCGGTGTCCGAGTCGACGAAGCAGCCTTGCGAGTAGCATCCGTCGTCAGGATTGTCCAACCCTGCTTGGACAAACGAAGCTGGAACTTCCGACTCTGCTCTTGCTGCCACAACGTCTTGTCTCGTGCACGCAAACAGCCTGTGATGATCCGTGTCTGGAGCACCGCACTGACACAGCCCATCTGTCTGATACCCACAAAGTCTAGCTCTCTCTCTTGTCCAGTGCCCCTCGACTGCCGACGTGCGAATCAGGAACTTCTGATGCTTGTTGAGGCAGTGGTTATTGGGGCGAACTGCGCTGCGAATGAAATCGAAAGAAGCTGTGTTGGCCAAGACTGCGAACTTATCGTTGATCGTGGCCCCGAGCGCCTTAGCTGTCTCAAGAACACCTTTACCTGCTTCAACTGCCAAGGTGGTAACTGACTCCTCGCTTCCACTTTCAACTCCCATGCTTGAATCGTCGATGTAGCTAGCAAAGTCAACCAGGGGATGTAGTGCTACATAATAATCATACTGTTCAACTGCATGCACTTCGATGGCGATGTCTGCGACTCCGCAACCAGCTTGAATGCCATATTCTGCATGCGCAGGGCGATTGCCATGGTGTTGAAGAAGGCGAATTAATATTCGTGCTCTCCAAGTCTTGTATGTTAACTTGGCCGAGGCTGTAGAAGCTCCATGCGCTATAAACTTGCCGCGCAGCTGCTTCAACTCGATGTTCTCGCATTGCTTGGAGTAGTCTGCTATGAGCGTTACCGAATACCGATCTGCTGCAATGCTGGCCTCAGTTCTTGCTGCTAGCTTCTATGCGCTATCACTTGGGCTTCTACCCTTTCCAGCGCCCCAATATTTCCTGTCAAGACACTGGATCAAATTTTCGTGCTCACATCTCCTTAGCGTTGCCTTTCTCGGTACACCGACGCGTGCAAAATGATTGGTTGATGTTCTCCTTGCGGTTTTGGTAGCATTGGCAGTGGAATCCACGCCAGTTGCTTGGGTAGCATACCCAGTGATTCCATCGCTTCGAATACAACCGCAAGAGTTCTCAGCGCATCATCGCTGATATGGATGAGATGACAAGGGTGAAGCCCATCAATTCCTGCAGACGTAATGCATGGGAAGGTGCGCGCAACTCTTCTGATAGCTTCAGGCTCAGCCCGTGGAAAGGAACAACGGTCTGGTATCCAGGCTCTCGGCGCTGCTGCAGTACTCTTCCAAATCTGCATGTACTCATCTTCCATCGCATGAGCGATATCATGAGGATGTGCCGAAATTTTCCCAGTGCTGGTTCAGGTCGTTGTTGGATAATGAACTTGTCGAACTTGGGTGAGTCGATGCAGTGCTCTAGCTCTCCCGGCACTTGCTTGTCGTCACCAGTCTTCCATCTTGTTTTGCTATCTCTGTCAGCTTCTTGAAATGCCTGATCTATGTCTTCTTGCCATTAACTTTGCAATTCTCGAATTGCATCTAGATGAAAATGAGTGGCTACAACTCGCCTGGCTTGCTCAACGCTGGCATCGAGTCTTCGTTTTACCTCTTTGCCCTGGATAGGCAGAGGTTTGCAGTGGAAGGATTCCATCTTGCAACTTTGCCTTCTCCTCCTGCTGCTGGCTTTCCCGAAGTTGAGCTATGGTAGCCATCGTATCGCTGAGCCGCTTCCATCCATCAGCTCGAGCTTGTGCTCCTGGAACGTCCTTCAGCTCGTAGGTGATATCTACCCATCTTGGCTGAAAAATCTCGAGAATGCTCCATAGTCTTTAACTTCAGTTCCAGTTCGATGAGCAAGTCGCCTGGCAGCATGTTCAGCAAATTGGCCCCAAGCCAGCGTTGAGAACCCCCACGCTGCATCAGGCCGAGCATGTTTGGCCATCTCCAGTGCCTGATCTGCATGCCTTGCTGGTAGCTTCCAAGACGCTTCAGGGAGATGTGGGCCTGCAGGCACCGCCAGTGTGATCTTGGGGGCCGAGCCGGCAGTCAGGACCTGGAGCGACTTACCAACTGCCGCCATATGAAGCTGAATGGGTCGGTGTGGCTTGATGTGCCACGAAGATTCTACCTTGTCACCACGGAATAAGAGCATGGCCGCCTCACTGAGCGCAAAGTAGTCGATCGTTGTGATCGCTGTCGGAGTTCGGCACGTAACTGCACTAGGTTTGATAATCTCAGCATGCGCGTGTAGCGGAAAGGTCGACTCTTCCATTATGTCAGCGCTCATGTTCCAGTCGCCGCCGACATTTGCTGGATGAGTGAGTCCAGCGAGCTCCTCTCCGACCTTAGCCAAGATCATGGAATTTCGCGCTGTCATTCCTTCGCACGTGTGAAGGTAAACGTTTAAACTGATGATCGTTGGCCATCCTGGTACGTCAACTTGAACGTGCTGCGCTCTGTGCTCAGCGACCAACGATGTCGAGCACGTGGATGGCCGTCTTACGCCGATGCCATGTCGAGCAAAGACGGCTACGCCAGCTGAAGGAAGATATCTTGTTTGGGAGCACCTGGGATAGCGATGAAGGCCCATCCCATCTTGGCGGCAAAACTGTACAGCTCCTCCACGTCCTTATCGAAACAGCCAATCTCTTGTGCCAGCAATATCTTCGCGGTGCTGGCCTTGATCCTCTGCTTGAAGGTGTTGCGACGTTGAAGGTCTCGATCAAGTGAGCCTGCAGAGCTGCCTCAGGCGTCGCTGGAGCCTGACTACGTCCTCCACGCACTCTGAGGCTGCTGACCTTCGGCGTCCAGTTCACACAGGCGCGAGCGCTCAACTTGGCACTCCAGGACGAGGAATGGCCTTCCGAGGGAGACGCGACCCCATCAGCGGCCATCCCCAAGAACGAAGTGCGGGGGCCATCTGAGGCCGGGTAAAGCGGCCGTCCAGCCCCAAGCGTAGCCGCCCCAAGACTCAGAGAAGGGGGAAGCAGTCGGAGCGTTAGGCTTGGGTCTGATAGCGAAGTTGCCAGATCCACCATGACTGTGAGAGAAACTGCGGCTGCTGAATCCGCCAA